TCTCTCTCTCCCTCCCTCAGTTCCTCCTTCCCACCTCCATGTGTCTCCCTTTCTCTCTGTCCCTCTCTATCTCACACTGGAGCCCTATCAATAAACCTAGGTAAGTTTATAGTACTTAAATTTAATTCTTTCTTTATTTCCTGTACATTATGTATGTATGACACTTGAATTTACAAGCAATACCACTTCATTCAAATTTTCAAAATTTAGTTTTGAAGACTCATACACATACACATATAAGATAACTTTTCCTTATTCAACTTAAGTTAACCTAGCCTGGAATCATTACATAGAATGCCACTTCTGTTAAGTTCCTTCATTCCATTACTGTCAAATTTTTATTCTTAACATGACTTGTAATCAGATTATAACTTAATTGTAGCAAAAATGTTTCAGCATCACACTTGTTCATAATAATACAATTCATTTTTTAACTTTCTTGTTGTCTTCTTTTAGGCCTCCTGTAACGAATGCAACATTTCAAACTCCTCTCATCAAATTATATTTCTGTTAAATATAGATCTAATTTTGTTTTTAACAAATATTGTTTATTTTACTTACTTTTCAATAGTTTATGATGCTTCTTTTCAACTGCCTTGGATGCACTTTCAGGATTACCTAAAAATTAAGAAATGCTTTTCAAAATTGTACTAAGCACTGTTTAATGACTATCGGCCTCCGGAAACCTCAAATGAGGAGGGAGGAGGTTTGGAATTTCACGAGGGCCACTCCCCGAGATCCTGCCTGTAACCACAGCCGAGGGGTTGGTAACAACCCCAGGAGTACATGGATAAGACCAACCGCATCAACGGTAGGAGCACAGCTGGTCATGACATATCAGTGCTGCCGAATGGTCCAGCACCAAGAGCATGATGCCATGGCTGTGAGGGAAGCATCTGAGCATGCTGCACTGGGAGGTGTCCCATAGCATGTCAGAGCCACCGACTGGTCCATCGCTAACAGTGAGAGCCACGAATGTGCAGGTGGGCATACGGATATGCCCATCACAACCAACAGTGGCATGTCAACGCCGCCGAATGGTCCGGCGCCAACAGCGGGCATGCCATGGGTAACCAATGGTCATGCCCCCTGCCACGGGCTGGGAACCCACTAAGAGAGCAGCTCAATTGGAGAGCCGGCTTAGGGTTTGTGCCCCACATTGTAAGAAGGGGCCATTCAGAGGAACCCCCCCTCCCAGGGGGCCCGAATAGAGACTCAGGATGGTTACAGGCAGACTACACAAATATGGGGGAGTGAGTGATGGGAACCAACACCGCCAGAGATGC